GTTGTTCTCAGAGAAGGTCTCTCTTTATATATATATATATATATATATATATATATATATATATATATATATACCTGGGATTGAACTTGTGGGTGCTTAACCACTAAGCCACATTTCCAGCCCTTTTCTATATTAAATTAAATTAATTAATTAATCAATCTATTTTTTATTTTTGGTCCTGGGGGATTGAACTCAGGGGCACTCAACTACTGAGCTACAGACCCAGCCCTTTGTTGCATTTTATTTAGAGACAGAGCCTCACTGAGTTGCTTAGGCCCTCACTAAATTGCTGAGGCTGACTTTGAACTCACCATCCTCCTGCCTCAGCCTCCTGAGCAGCTGGGATTACAGGTGTGCAGCACTGCTCCTGCCCAGCATAGAAAGAGACCCCACCCTGCCTAGGAAGAGACCACTGAATGAAGCAAATGAGGCTGCAGTAGGGAGCTCAGCTGGAAGCTGCTGGAACATTACACAAAACTAGTAGGAAGGCACCAGTGTCCCTGATCTACAGTAAGTGACACAGTGAGCATGGTTGTAAGTAACTGGTCCAAAGTCACTGGACCAAGTGGGTCAGGGGCTAAAAACAGTGGTAAAGCTGAGAAAGAACCCAGGCCCCTCTCTACCAGCACATTTGTCCCCAGGCACAGAGAAGCCTCCCTCTTTATACACCTTGTCTGCAAGTAGCTGGCTGTGACCAGAGGCCAGTTGGAGAACTGAGTGACTAAGTTTCAGGTGCCCTTTTAGAAGAAAGAGGGGGCCATAAGATGGGATGGCACCTCAGGGCTGGGATTAGGTGACACAGAATGTCCCAGCTGAAGAGATCGTTAGGAAAGGTCTACTCTACCCCCAACTTTAAAGATGAGGAAACAGGGGCCCAAAACAGTCTGCCCAAGGCCCTACAATCCTCTCTCCCCCGCCCAAAAGCAAAGATGGTACTTATTACGGGATAAATTGTATCTCTCAAAAACATACCTTGAGGTTCTAACCTCTGGTACCTGTGAATGTGATCTTATTCGGAAATTAAGTCTTTGTAGATGTAATTAAATTAAAATGAAGTCATACCAGATGAGGGTGGGTACTAACCCAGTGTGACTGGAGTCCTTATGTTATTGTCAAGGTCCAGGTCCTTGGTGACCCAAAGAAAGAATTGAGCAAGACATACACAAGTAACAGGCAAAGTATAGATAACGGTGGAAGTAGCACTCGGTAAGGTAGAGCAGAGCAGAGTAGGCCAAGCAAGAGAAGCTCAGGGCCCTGATGTCTGGAAATCAGTGTCTTACAATGCTGAGCTGTGCGGCATTCTCTTCCCCACACAGACCTGATTGAAGACCTTACCCCACTTTCCCCCTGTTGGTTATCTTATGATACCTGATTGGAATATTGTCTAATTTTCCGCCTCTAGTTACTTTAGAAAACCTAATTCGCATACCATCTAATTTACCCCCATTGGTCATTTTATTTTTTATTATTTTTTCTTAGTTGGTCTTTTTTTTTTTTTTCATTTGTTCTAATTAGTTATACATGACGGTAGAATGCCTTTTGACACATCATACATAAATGGAGTATAATGTCTCATTCTTCTGGTTGTACATGATGTAGAGTTACACCAGTCGGGTAATCATATATGCACACAGAGTCATAATGTCTGATTCATTCTACTATCCTTCCTATCCCATTGGTCATTTTAAAACACCAAACCTGTGCTGAGAATTGTCATGGTGATAAGTCCTCAGGGGAGGGAGCTGTCATGGTAATGGGATTTACCATAAACAGGGACATGATTCTTCCTGTCTAGTCCTCCATCGGCATCCTTTATACCCTGCCTCCACATCTTGGCATCCTGAATGCCTACCTGACACTTAGAGGAAGAGGAAAATTTGGACACCAACAGACATGCAGGGAGAAGATAGACATGTGATGACCCAGAGATTGCAGAGACACATCTATAAGGCAAGGAACACCAAGAATTGACAAAGATCCTACCCAATAGGTTTCAGAGGGAGCATGGCCCTGCCTACACCTTGATTTTGGACTTCCAGCCTCCAGAACTCCTTCTGGTCTTTCTATTTCTATGCATATCTTTTCTTTTCTCATATCTTGTGTCTTTTTAACTCCTTGGATTTTAACACAATAAACATTTTTAACATCCACATAACCATAATTTAACTAATCATTTATTTATTTAGGAGGACATATTTGTAGTTTCTAGGTTGTTTTCAAACATAGATCTAAGGCTTTGTTCATAAAGCTTTTATAGTATTTCCTTGGGATGGAGTCCTATATATAAAATTCCCAGGTCAAAACGTGTTAACATTGCAATGTGGTTCAAGATAATGAGCCCTGTGTCGATGCCTCAAAGTGCCCCTACCTCTGCGGGCCACCTACCTGTGGTCCCACCACCGAGGCTTCCTGCCTCCTTCCCCCCTCTCTCCTGATAGCCAAACCCTGTGAGCTCCCTGCATTTTGCCTGCAGCTTTGCTTCCTTCTTGTCTGGGCGGGATTAGGAACCAAATCCATCATGCCCCTGCCTGTCTCCAGCATGGCCCTCCCGATGCTGAAAGCTGATGACTATGCTGTACTGTGGCTTTTAGCTGGGCCCTGCCCCCACCTCTGGGCTGTAAACCCTGCTAAACCTTCAGACTCCTAGTGTCCTGCTCCTGTAACTTTCAGTGGACACAGGGGCTGCTGGTCCACTTGGCAGATAAAGGGACACAGAGCATGGTGATTGGGACTGATCAGCAGGTGGTGCCCATAGCAGGGGCATTGAGGCCACCTTCCTCAGGGAGCAGGAAGAGGCGTGGATTCCACTTGCCTTAGGATCAGACTTCAAATCCCACACTTTGGGTTTGGCTGAAATGAGGTATTTGGGTATTTCAACCAAGCCCTTTTCTTTTGGTAGGCTGGGGGGCCATATGGTTCTCACTTCTCTGCACCCTGGCTTTCCTAAGCAGGTCATCTGACTCAGTGTGGTAGCAGAGGTGGGAAATCATGTAGGTAACCCCTGGAATAGAGCCCCATCTGAGGGGGACTAACCTCAAGTAAACTCCAGCCCTCCATAGGCCCCTACCAGGGACTGGTGATCCACAGTTGGACCAAAACTCTCCACCCACCTCATCCCACCACCTCAAGCTACAGTGCAGTGGGAGACAGCAGAAGTCCCCCCACAGGTTGTGCAGCGACCTCCACAGACCCTAGGGGACCAGGCTGTCATCATAGTCACAGGGGCATGAAGTGGGCATGGAATTCTGGGACTGCTCATGTTCAGTCTGACCCTTGATCTGGCATCAGCCTCCTATCCTCCTTATAGCTTTGAGCAAATAACACACCTGCCTTCTAATATCAAATACCGTGCAATACAAGGTAGACACACTATAAATGGAATAAGAAAACAATTTGAGCCTTCAGGGCAGATAGAGCTGATCTGGCCACCAGGAAAGGCAGTAAGAGGGAGAGTCCCTTCATCACCCCGTCCCAAAGCTGTAACTCAGGGGAAAGAGCAAAATGCTCAGTCCCAGATTCATTTATCTGCATGTTACATTATGATGTTAGCTAAAACAGTTACTGTTAACATCAGGGTTAATTTTTTTTTTAAATTTTGTGTTTGGTGCTGAGGATCGAATTTAGGGTCCTGCAAATGTCAGGCAAGCAATCTACCATTAAACTACAACTTCACTCCTAAAAGTTCTTTAAAATATCAAAGGTGGTATTTGATATCCCCTCTTGTGGCTGCTCTTTCATTCATTTTCCACCTTGACTGCAAGCATTCTGCTTTTGTTTGCACTCTTGCTCACTGTGGGCCATATGGGGCGAGGTTGAGGAAGGACTGTTCTCATCCCAGCTATTACTAGCTCTGGGCAAACTCTTTCATTTTTCTGATCCTCATTTTCCTCATTTAAATAATATCCACCGCACATGCTGCTTGGTAGACAGGAGGGAGTCAACCAGAGGGATTTGATCCCGGCTCCAGCACTTACTACTTTCAGAGCAAGTTACTTAACCACTCTGAGCTTTGCTTCCTCCTTGGTGAAAATGGGCAATGTGTCTCTATTCACATTGTACGGACTATAGGGAGGATTAAACAAGACAATACCCAGGATTGGCACAGTCAGTGCTAAAGAAATACAGCATTCCCCCTTCCTCCAAGATGTAATTATGGAGCACGCTCTTGTTGTTTTAATAAATTATATTTATCCTGGAGGTGGAGCTAGATGGTAGAGCATTTGTTTAGCATGTGCAAGACCTGGGTTCAATCATCAGTACCAAATAAATAAATAAAAATATATTTAAATATACTATTCATAACTTTTTTCTTTTTCAAATTGACTCATAATAGTGGTACACATGTATAGGTGTCCAATGTGACCTTTCAGTACATGTATGCAATGTATAATAATCAGGGTAATTGGCATATCCATTACCTCAAACATGGATCATTTCTTTGGGTTGGGAACACTTTGAAATCCTCCCATCTAACTATTTTGAATTGCTGTCAATCATAGTTATCCTATTGAGCTACAGAATATTAGAAGTTATTCTTTCTTTGCAACTGTACCCCTGTGCCGGTTAACTATCCTCTCTCTCTCCATCCCTTATTCATAATATTTTAATCTGTTTTGTTTTGTGTGTGGTGCTGGGGATGAGCGCCACAGCCTCGTGCTGGCTAAACTCCCGCTGTACCAATGTGCTACATTCCCAGGCCCAATAAATTTTAAGATTCCCACTTCAGATGCGTCGCCTGACCCCACACCGCACTATACAAGCGCGATCCTCGCCGTGCCTTTGCCGCGGCCCCTCTTTTCTTTGGAAAGCTTTACTCCGCCTTGGTGCCAGCGTCCAACCTCCGTGCACCCCTCTGTTCCCACCGGCAGGCAGCTCCGCGCAACAGGGCCCCAGTCACCCGATCCCACCATGGGGTTGGGGATGGGGACTCGGCGAGCGCCTGGCCCCGCTCAGGTGAGAAGCAGCGGGGCCCCGCCGTGGGCGCATCGACCCGCACTCACCCTCTTCACCAGGAAACCCTCCTTGAGCACGCCGTCCTCCATGTAGCCGCCCGCACGCCCGGGCCACCCCAGTGAGCTGTCCCGACGCTTCGCGCTTTTCCGCGCCCGCGCAGCCCGCGCCCACTGCGCCCAGGAAGCCGCTCCGACACCGGCGGGCGACGCCTCCCTGGCGCTTGTCCAGAGCCGGAGACCGCGGGGCCTCCCGGGCAGGAAGTCGGGCAGGGTTGGGATCTTTGCCTCCACGTCCCACCTGAAGGTGCTCCAAGGCCGGTGATTAGTCTTAGGTGCAGAGTCTGCCAACCCCGCCCCAGCTTTCTCCGACCTGGCAGGGCGCCCTTGGGGTGCCCTGCGCTTCATAACTCTGCCAGTCTCTGCCCAGTTTCCTCCGCCCCAGATTTAACCCGGTGCTAGACTGGCACTTGGGTTGATAGTTACGCAACTAAAGGGCACTGAAAGGATTTGGGAACCTACCCTGCACTCAGTGGAAATGGAAGTGGGAGGATGGGTAGGATGGAAGTGGGATGGCAAGTGTTTTTGGGCATCTGGTGGAGGCAGAGAAGAGTCCTTATTAACCGGAAAGTCACAACTTTAAGACAGCTGGTGCAGTCTGCAGGGAGAGAGCTGGTGCCCAGGAAACATTCTGTCCCCAAGATCTACCATGCCAAAGGGAGTGGGGGGACGAGAACCAAAGAATCCAGCATTCCGGGCAAAATTTAAGGAGGAGCCAAGGAACTCAATAACGTAGATAAATAATATTTGAGTTTAACATTTTTAAAAATAATGGTGCATGGTGGTGACAATCTCAGCAACTCAGGAGGCTGAGGCAGGAGGATGGCAAGTTCCAGGCCAGCCTCGGCAACTTAGACCCTGTATCAGAATAAAAAATAAGGGCTGGGGCTGAGGCTCAGTGGTAAGGCACTTGCCTGGCATGTGTGAGACCCTGGGTTCAATTCTCAGCACCACGTATAAATAAATAAAAGATCTATCAACAACTAAAAAAAATTAAAATAAATAAATAAATAAAAGGACTGGAGGTGTAGCTTAGTGGCAGAGCTCCCCGTGGTTCAATCCCCATTAAAAAAAAAAAAAAAAAAAACGCGGCTGGGGTTGTTGATCCTTGTCCAGTGCTTGCCAAGCATGTGTGAGGCTCTGGGTTTCATTCTCAGCACCACATATAAAGAAATTAAGTAAAGGTCCATCAACAACTAAAAAAAAAAAAATATTTAAAAAAAATCAAAATTAATGCCCAAAACATCCACAATGAACAGATTATCAAGTATCAAGACAAGATCAACAACAATGCACTACCAAGCCATACCGGCACCGAAACAACAGGAAACATGAAATAGAACACAGTGGCACACACCTGCAATCCCAGCTATTCTGGAGGCTGAGGCAGGAGGATGGCAAGTTTGAGGTCAGTCTGGGCAACTTAGTGAGACCCTGTCTCAAAAAAAAAAAAAAAGAAAGAAAGAAAGAAAGAAAGAAGAAAAAAAATAGGGAAGGGGCTTGAGGATGTAGATCAATGGCAAGCCTTGGGTTCAATCCCCAGGATCACCCAAAAGGAAACAGGAGTAGCAGTAGCACTGACCTGTCTTGGAGCACAGTCACCTTTACCCATTTGCACTCAGTGTGAAGGGCCCTGTCAAACTCCCCTTGCCTGATGAGGTAAGGGAAAGGCCCTCAGATGCCCAGAAGGGACGAGAAGACCATAGTGGAAGAAGGGGCCCCCCGGTTGTGGAAGGGACAGGGTGTCTTCCAAAGCCCCACCGCTGCTTCCAAGTCCACCCCAGGGGCCCCCGAGCTGGGCCTTCTGCCACACTGCTGCCCCTGTGAGTCCAAGCCAGGCCCCAGGGAAAGCTGGCAGGGCACTGTGTTGCCAGGATAATGACACACTGGCTTTTGGACGGGATTTCCACCCTGATTTCTTTAGAGGCGCTAGGTTATACTCGTTTTATTTAATACACAGTAACCCCATGTGGTGGGTTTCTCATCTCAGTTCTTCAGCCTTGAATAACTTGCCCAGAGCATCACAAATGCATTTGCTTCTCCAGGACCTGTCCCAGCTCTGAAAGCTGGCTGGGCTCAAACCCAGGACAGGAGAGACTGGGGAGTTCTAATCCTCTTTGGCTTTGTTCAGCTCCTTCTTCCTCACAGAAGCTGCCCTGGTTCTGAGGCTTAAAAGAGGTGGAATTTGCAAGAGATGTCTTTGGCAAGAAGGATTCCCAAATGAGAAATGAGAAAGGGAGAAAGCGCCCTCCTACCAGCAGCGAGTTCAGCCCTCTGCACACCTAGAACCTTCTTGCCCTCCTAGGGAAGCCCCTGGTCCAGCCCATTCTGTGATTCACTGGACGTGGGGCATGAGTCACACCCCTTCCTTCCCCAGGCTGTGGTGGCTGGGCCACCAGATTACCAGGGAACACTGCTGACATAAGCCCAGCTCGACCACAGGGAGGTGGAGGGACAGAAGGAAGCAAACAGTAGCGAATAGGGGAGCCTGCCAGGGAAGGAAGTTCCAGACCCAGGGTTTCATCTTGTTCTGCAGGCAGACACTTCTCAAGAATAAAAGAGTCCCTGACCCTCACAGCCCTCCTCCCTTTTTTTGTCATTAAGGACCAGTAATGACTAGCATGTGTTGGCTGTGTGTCCAAAGCTATTAGGTCAGTGTTTGGGTGAAGGTGTTTCACAAACTGATATAACATTCCACCATTAGAGAGTCATTTCTTTAGTTTTAAGTGAGCATCCTCAATTTAAGATATATATATATATGAAGGGTAAATCGTGAAACTTTATTTGAAATGAATACTTTGACTCCAGACACTCATCAGAATCACAGGATCACCATCCAACCCCTAACAATCATCTAATCAGATGCTTCATTTTATAAGTGAGGACCCCCCTCAAAGCCCCAGAGAAATAAATTGACTTGTCCAAGGTCTTCATCCAGTTAGTGACAAAAGTAGTGCCAGAATACAGGCTCCCAGAGCTGTGTGCTTTAAGGCTGGTCCCTGACAAACACAGGGGCACTTCCCCTAGCAGTGACCAGCATCAGAGTCCTGCAGTAAGAGTGTGGCTAAGGAAGGCCTGGAAGGGAGCCGTCTGCAGATCCAGAAAAGACTTCAAAACAAATTTCTGTAATTCTTAATACCATAAAAATAAATTTGTGCTGAGTGTGTTGGCACATACCTAAAATTCTATCAACTTGAGAGGCTGAGGCAGGAGGATGAGAAGTTGAAGGTCAGCCTCAGAAATTTAGCAAAAACCTGTCTCAAACTAAAATAATAAAGGGCTGGGGTGTAGCTTTGTGGTAAAGTACCCCTGGCTTCAATCCCCTGTACCAATAAATAAATACTTAAATAAATTTGTGCTTATCATAGAAAATTTGGAAAAATACCAAAAAGTTGATAAAACCACAAATTCCATCACTCAGACAAATGATCAGGGTTTTGTTTGTTTCTTTGGTACTAGGGATTGAATCCAGGGGCACTTTACCATTTAGCTACATCCTCAGCCTTTTTTATTTTTTATTTTGAGACAAAATGTTGCTAAGTTGCTAAGACTGGCCTCCAACTTGGGATCTTTCTTCCTCAGTCTCCCAAGTTTCTGGGACTACAGCCACCATGCCTAGCTGACAATCAGGATTTTTATTTATTTTATTTAACATTTATTTTTATTAAATTTTATTTTTAAAAAAGGAACACTATGGGGCTGGGGTTATGGCTCAGCAGTAGAGCACTTGCATGGCACATGTGAGGCACTGGGTTCGATCCCGCAGCACCATGTAAAAATAAATAAACAAAATAAAGTTATGGTGTCCATCTACAACTAAAAAATTAAAAAAAAAAAAACAGTAATTTTGTCACTTACAGCTAATAAACATCTTAACAGATCATTAAAATAACCCAAAGCCATAATTTTAATGACTGCATAAAATTTGATTATAACTGTATCATAATATATTTAATCCTTTCATTTTGATTGAATTTCATTTTTCACTATGTAAAAAAGTACTATGATAAATATCGTGCATAAACATCTTGCCACATCTCTATTATTTCAGGTAAATGTCTAAAGTATAATTTTAGGTTCAAGGGTATAAAATTTAAAAATTCTTTAAAAAAAATTTTTTTGTAGTTGTAGATGGACAGAATGTCTTTATTTATTTTTATGTGGTGCTAAGGATAAAACCCAGTGCCTCACACATGCTAGGCAAGCGCTCCGCCACTGAGCTACAGCCTTAGCCCTAAAAATTTAGACTGCTTTCTAGAAATATGCCACCTGATATCCTCACCAGCTGCGTTTGATGCCAGTGTAACTGTCCACACCAGCATCAAATACAGCACTTTTTAGAAACCTTTGCAAATTTTCTCAGAATCAGCAGGGGCGGTTCTCATTTGCACAGTCTGTGCCACCTGTCAGTAGAACTGGCTCCCTTACCCACCTCCTAGGGGCAACCAGCTATAGGAGACTCCTGCAAGAGGCTCAGAACTGGGAAGCTGCTGAGAAGGAGCAGTGGAAGTCCCAGACAAGGGCACCACCCACAGGAAAAGGAGGAAGTATGGAGTCCTGCACACCCAAGAGAGCTCTCTGAAGGTATAGAAAAGCTCACAGGGGCTGAGGGTGTAGTGCAGGGGCAGAGCGCATGTGTGAGATCCCGGGTTCAATCAAGGGAAGGGGTGTGGAGTGGTGAGCAGAGCAAAATCAGCCAGGAGAGGAAGGAGCTAGAAGGGCCACAGACAAACATGAAACAGAAATTTTGCCTAATCCATGGCTTTGCTCAAGGCCATCCATCAAGTTGCCCTGTTATAGCAGAAATATATACAGCCCTTCCTCTACTTGAGATGGTTCTGCTTGGACTGGTGGTGTAGCCCCACGGTAAAGCATAGGCTTAGCATGCAGAGGCTCAGGGTTCAATTCCCAGCAAACCCCACCACCATCAAAAAATAAAATGGTTCAGCTTATTTGACTTTACAATAGTGCAAAAGTGATACACATTAAATGGAAACTTTGGGTTTTGAATTCTTCTCGTTTTCCAGGCTAGCAATATGAGTTCCATACTCTGTCAATGCAGTACAGCACAGTGAGCAGCAGGCAGCTCCCAGCCAGCCATACTATCATAAGGGGAAACAGAGTATGCTCTACAGTGTTGCTAAGCTATGATGTTCGGTAGGTTAGGGTGTTAAGTGCATTTTCATCTTATACTGGGCTTATTCAGACATAATTCCATTATAAGTCGAGAACATCCATAACCATTCAACCATTCATCAGTTCATTCACCAGAGCAGAAGAATTGCATTGAGCATATCCTAAGTACAAAGCACAAAGGGTGATACATAGGCCTTGGCCTCCAGGCCACACACATGGGTGTAAACACAATGTAACTTAGTGAAAGCAGACTGACCCAC